TTTTTTTTTTCGTTTTCTTTACGACTTCATAAACTTCAAATGGCAGTCGGACCAATCGGGGCTTCGTCTTGATACAAACAGTTTTGTTTTTCCAAATTTTTTAACGAAAGTAACAGAATAATTGAGTCGGGGTGGTTTTTTCCTTTAGACAAATTTCGACATTTTAACTAGCCATTTTTTAAAGATTTTTTCTTCATCGTTCATATGTATTGCTGCCTTGAGCTCAAATTTAATTTGATTTTTCACCTTTTATCATTTTTTGTAAAGTTATGGGGTTTAAAGGTTGCCATTTTGGCCAAATTGGGACAATCAACGCGCTATTAACGTGTAAGCGGAAATTTAATCCGTCAAATCGTTCCAAATTGGTTGAAGGAAGAAGCTTATTTGCTATAATCGATTTATTACTCGGAGCGAAATTTATCACTTTGTACTTAATATGGCGTGTGGGGGTGATTTTTACAAAAAATCTCAAAAAAAGTTTATTTTAATTTTATTACATTCAATTTTTTCATGTTATTACTGATCCATGGACTGCTCTATGAAATGATATGTTAGTTGGTAAATTTAATTTTTTTTTCAAATTGACTGGTACTGCTTATGCGTCATAATTGGCGGGCGTCACTTGAGAATTTTTGTAGATTCAAAGTTTTACTCATTCGGTCTTTCCCAGTAGTGTTATCGGTCATATTTTTGCATGTGTAAGCGAATTGCAACTTCGCCTCTTTGTAAAAATTTTTCGATGCTAATTTTAATTCTGTTGTCTTGGCGTTTTTTCACAACTAGCTTGACAGTAATTTTTTATATTGGGTTTCTTATAACTTTCTAAATCGTTTTTGTGGGAAAGGTTAAATTTAGCATGGCTTTCTTGAAAATTGCTGATAGCTTTTAAAAAAAGTGACCCATTTATATTTGCGTTATTTCTGAAATTCTGAAACAGCATGCGAGTGAATTAATTTAGAAATTTGGATTGACCATACGCACCGCAAAGTTTTGCAAATTTTGGGAGTTTGAAAAATTGCCAATTAGACCATGCTCTGGACGCTCTGGACTAATTTATGCGCGTTTTGTAGATTTAATCCTGAATCCTGAAACCGTAACTCAAGGAAAATAAAACTGCGTGGCAAATAAAACTGCTCAAGGAAATTGTTCCAAAATTGACTCGAAACGAGCTAATTGGTAGTAATAATTTTCACACTTGTTCTTAGATTTTGTCCAAATTTATAGTTTTCCAATATTTTCTTTTCCCAAAAACTATTCGATATGGGTTTAGGGGCAGTAGGAACATTCAGGGCGCTGCTCTGATATACGAACGGTCTTGTTGTTACTAGGAGCAAAATCTATCTTTTTGTTTTTTATATGGCGTGTGGGGGGATGATTTCAACAAAAAAATCTCAATTTTTATTGAAAAAAAAGTTTCGTTGTTATTTATTACTTTTTTTTTCATGTTATTACGGCTCCTTAGACCTTAAAAGGCAGTCAGAACTTTCAGGGCTTCACTCTGATACGAGCAGTCTTGTTTCTTTTGCGATCAATTTTTGAGAACACCAATTTGGCCAATAAAAGTTATAATAAAACACTTTAACATTGTTTCCACGCATTATTCCAGCTTATTGTTCCGACTTTCTTAACAAAAGTAACGGACTATTTGTGCTCGGGTGGTTTTTTTTCTTCAGACAAATTTCGACTTTATAACTAGCCATTTTTGACAGAACCTTTTCTGTATCATTCGAAAGGTACTGTTGTTCTGAGCTTATATTTGAAAAAGATACTTCACCTGTGATTATTTTTCGCAAAGTTATGAGGGCTTAAAGATTGCCATTTTGGCCAATTTGTGACAACGACCGCGCTTTATATTTCGCGCTATTAACGCTTAAGCGGAGATTTAATCCATCTTCGAAATTGTTCCAAATTCGTTAAAGGAAGCTTATTTGCTTAATTGATTTGTTAATGAGAGCGAAGTCTATCTCTTTGTACTTTTTATGGCGTGGGGGGATGATTTTCACAAAAATTTTAATTAAAAAAAATGCATTTAATTATTTTATTACATTTAATTTGTTCTATGTTATTACGGCTCAATAGACACTGAAAGGCAGTCGGAACATTCAGGGCTTCTTCCTGATACGAGCAGTCTTGATTATTATTCGAAAACAATTTAATGCTAACTAATCGATGCACAACTTGCCAAAACTTTATTTGTGGTTTAATTTCTGGCCTAATTTAAAATTACGGTGCGTATTCATATTCATAGGTCCCAAAATGAAAAATCAGTTCCATAGGTCCCAAAATAAACAAGACTACTCGTATCAGGGCGAAGCCTTGAATATTCCGACTGCCTTTCAAGGTTTATGGAGCAGTAATTACATAAAAAAATTAAACGTAATAAAATAAAATGAATTTTTTTTCCAAAATTTGAATTTTTTTAAATGAAAATCATCCCCCCCACACGCCATATAAAGTACAAATGATAGATTTTGTTCCTTGTAACAAATCAATTATGGCAAATAAGCTTCTTTCAACCAATTTGGAACGATTTCTAGGATGAATTAAATCTCCGCTTACGCGTACCCCCATAACTTTACGAAAAATGATCACAGGTGAAATATTTGTTCAAATTTGAGCTCAGGGCAACAATACTTTTTGAATGATATGAAAACATTCCATCAAAATTGACTAGTTAAAAAGTCGAAATTTGTCTGAAGAAAAAAAAACCCACCCGAGCACAAATTTTCTATTACTTTCGTATCGAAAGTTGGAACAAAAAACAAAAATTTTTCGATGCTAATTTTAATTCTGTTGTCTTGGCGTTTTTTCACAACTAGCTTGACAGTAATTTTTTATATTGGGTTTCTTATAACTTTCTAAATCGTTTTTGTGGGAAAGGTTAAATTTAGCATGGCTTTCTTGAAAATTGCTGATAGCTTTTAAAAAAAGTGACCCATTTATATTTGCGTTATTTCTGAAATTCTGAAACAGCATGCGAGTGAATTAATTTAGAAATTTGGATTGACCATACGCACCGCAAAGTTTTGCAAATTTTGGGAGTTTGAAAAATTGCCAATTAGACCATGCTCTGGACGCTCTGGACTAATTTATGCGCGTTTTGTAGATTTAATCCTGAATCCTGAAACCGTAACTCAAGGAAAATAAAACTGCGTGGCAAATAAAACTGCTCAAGGAAATTGTTCCAAAATTGACTCGAAACGAGCTAATTGGTAGTAATAATTTTCACACTTGTTCTTAGATTTTGTCCAAATTTATAGTTTTCCAATATTTTCTTTTCCCAAAAACTATTCGATATGGGTTTAGGGGCAGTAGGAACATTCAGGGCGCTGCTCTGATATACGAACGGTCTTGTTGTTACTAGGAGCAAAATCTATCTTTTTGTTTTTTATATGGCGTGTGGGGGGATGATTTCAACAAAAAAATCTCAATTTTTATTGAAAAAAAAGTTTCGTTGTTATTTATTACTTTTTTTTTCATGTTATTACGGCTCCTTAGACCTTAAAAGGCAGTCAGAACTTTCAGGGCTTCACTCTGATACGAGCAGTCTTGTTTCTTTTGCGATCAATTTTTGAGAACACCAATTTGGCCAATAAAAGTTATAATAAAACACTTTAACATTGTTTCCACGCATTATTCCAGCTTATTGTTCCGACTTTCTTAACAAAAGTAACGGACTATTTGTGCTCGGGTGGTTTTTTTTCTTCAGACAAATTTCGACTTTATAACTAGCCATTTTTGACAGAACCTTTTCTGTATCATTCGAAAGGTACTGTTGTTCTGAGCTTATATTTGAAAAAGATACTTCACCTGTGATTATTTTTCGCAAAGTTATGAGGGCTTAAAGATTGCCATTTTGGCCAATTTGTGACAACGACCGCGCTTTATATTTCGCGCTATTAACGCTTAAGCGGAGATTTAATCCATCTTCGAAATTGTTCCAAATTCGTTAAAGGAAGCTTATTTGCTTAATTGATTTGTTAATGAGAGCGAAGTCTATCTCTTTGTACTTTTTATGGCGTGGGGGGATGATTTTCACAAAAATTTTAATTAAAAAAAATGCATTTAATTATTTTATTACATTTAATTTGTTCTATGTTATTACGGCTCAATAGACACTGAAAGGCAGTCGGAACATTCAGGGCTTCTTCCTGATACGAGCAGTCTTGATTATTATTCGAAAACAATTTAATGCTAACTAATCGATGCACAACTTGCCAAAACTTTATTTGTGGTTTAATTTCTGGCCTAATTTAAAATTACGGTGCGTATTCATATTCATAGGTCCCAAAATGAAAAATCAGTTCCATAGGTCCCAAAATAAACAAGACTACTCGTATCAGGGCGAAGCCTTGAATATTCCGACTGCCTTTCAAGGTTTATGGAGCAGTAATTACATAAAAAAATTAAACGTAATAAAATAAAATGAATTTTTTTTCCAAAATTTGAATTTTTTTAAATGAAAATCATCCCCCCCCACACGCCATATAAAGTACAAATGATAGATTTTGTTCCTTGTAACAAATCAATTATGGCAAATAAGCTTCTTTCAACCAATTTGGAACGATTTCTAGGATGAATTAAATCTCCGCTTACGCGTTAATAGCGCGAAATATATCGCGCGTTAATTGTCCCAAATTGATCAAAATGGCAATCTTTAAACCCCCATAACTTTACGAAAAATGATCACAGGTGAAATATTTTTTCAAATTTGAGCTCAGGGCAACAATACTTTTTGAATGATATGAAAACATTCCATCAAAATTGACTAGTTAAAAAGTCGAAATTTGTCTGAAGAAAAAAAAACCCACCCCGAGCACAAATTTTCTATTACTTTCGTATCGAAAGTTGGAACAAAAAGCAGTCGCATAAGTCCCAAATAATTTCAATTGGTCAAAAGACTAAATTAGCCGAGTCTCGATTTAAGCTTCGCGGCGATAGCCGGCTCTAAATTTTGTATAGACTCCTACCCTTTGGTGGCAAGCTTGCAACATGCTGGAGCGGCTGCCGCGGTCACTATTATGCAGCTTGAGTTTATGCTGCTTGAACAGTAAACAATAAATCCATAATTTCGTTGGCTCAAATTTCAACCAATCAGAACTCAAGAAGATAAATTTTGGGACTTATGCGACTGATTTTTTATTTTGGGAGCTATGAATATTGGGACCTATGGGAATTCATCAAAATTACAGCTATTCGGACAAAAAAACTTGTTCGGATATTCGAGTGTTCGGCTCCGTGGAAGCAGTCCGTTGAGACTGAAGACAGGAAGAAGCTGAAGTTCTATTAGTTAGCTACGTAGTCGTGCGACACTCTTCTGCCGCAAATGGACAATCGATGAGGAAAGAAATTGAATTTTCTTTTTCCATACTAGAGGTATAACGTAAAACAAAGGGTCCAAGATCAGAAAAACAAAAAGACATTAATTTTTATAAACTAATCGGTAAAACTAGTATTAGAATTGTCAGTATTACCAAAGAAATGATTAGATTATAAATGAATTGACTGTATTTCAGTAATATTTGTCTGCTTTTCTGCCCTTAGACCCTTTCTGCCCTCAGACCATTCTGCTCTTTGACTGGCAACCAATAAATAAACGCAAGGAATGCCAATTTTTTTGATCAGATTGGAACCCTACGCAATGGTCTTAAACTTTCCTTATCAATCCACATTCTTATGTGTTGTATGGAAATATAATGCCTTCAAAATGGTAAATGCAGCGAGTACGACCACGCAGTTTTCCCATTTTGAACTGTTTCAGTTAGAGCTTTTCAAATTGGTGATGTAAAAACAAGCCAAAGTGCAACATTAATATACCAGCTACCGTCTGAATTTAGTTGAAAAAACTGTCAAAAGAGTACTATTATACTCATATAACTTGAAATTGTGCCCACTTTAATTTGAGTGACTTTAACTATCGGCTGGCTTATGTACTCTAGCCCATTTTCGGATCGTTTTTGTTTCGGCTGATTTATTGACACTCTTTCAAGTGGAATTATAAGGAAAACATAAAAAATATATACACCAGCAAGTTTAGACTTCTTCATTTTTCAGCGCGAACAAACCGTTTTGCACTTCCTTTATCGCCAAAGAGCTTTGTTACTATTTTCATCAGTATTGTAAAAGGTAATGGAATTTTGCTGCTAGGTAGAAAAAATCCGCATATGCATCAGTGCATTTAGGGGGGGGGGGGTCGACTCCTTGTTGACGCATAGGGTCCCCCTTTGCATTAATTTGAGATATCCATTTTTGGCTGACGGACCCTTAAATTTTTCTAAAGGCACCAAGCGCGCGCCAAAAAAATGAAACTTTTTGGTCATTATTTTTCAAAAAGGGCCTAAAAAGAGCAGGAAATATGACCTAAACCGGGGGTCTTTTTCAGGGGCGGATCTAGGATTTTCTCGAGGGGGGGGGGGGGCGGATTTTCGAAAAATTTTCCAAAATTTTGACGACCTTTTTTTTTTTAGGTCGACCAAATTGATTTTTCGAGCTCTCCCAAAGCACTGTTTTGCGCCTATTTTGGCAAAATGTTCTGCGCCGCAGGCAAATTTTTGAAAAAACCGTCAAAAAAGCCGTTTTTGGGCACTTTTTGAAAAATTTAGACATGCGTTTTTTTTTGGCGCGCGCTCCCCCTCAAAGTTAGTATATATTGGCGCCAAAGGCGCCTTTAGAAAAATTTTAGGGTCGGTCCGCCAAAAATTAAAAATGGATTTCTGAAAAAGTATCAAAGGGGGGACCCTTTGGGTCGGCAGGGGGTCGAATCCCTGAGGGGGGGGGGGGGGCGTCCGCCACCCCCCCCCCCCCCCCCCCAAATCCGCCCCTGGTCTTTTTTGTGCTTTGGGAGAGCTCACAAAATCAATTTGGTCAACCTATAAAAAAGTTTGACAAAATTTTTGAAAATCCTAGATCCGCCCCCTGCGCATATGCTTAACCGCATTGCATTGTTTAACCCTTGCATTGATTTTTTAAGGCCGCATTGCAATGGTTAACCATGGTTATTATCTATCATTGCAATATTAAACAATTGCGAAGAATTAGTTCTTAAAAGCGGTGGTTATTCTTTACTAGGTACTTGATTAGAGAGGTTCCTGAAAACCACCCCATGTCTCTGATGCCACAGATGCTTGCATCATACGAGGTTTTTTCGGTGGCTCAAAATGGTTTGGACCAGTAGCGGATTTAGGGGAGACGGACGTCCTTCCGTCAAGGATTCGACCCCTTGCTGACCGAAAGTGTCTTCCTTCGGTACTGTTTTAAGACATCTATGTTTGACTGACCGAACCTAAATTGTCTGCGGCTGACCGACCCGTCGGGCCAATATATCTTTAATTGCAGGGGGGCTGCGCGTTCAAAAAAAAGTGCCTAAAAAGCCAACGGCGCAAAAAAATTGGCCAAAGAAGATCATAATAGTGATTTGGAAGAGCTCAAAAATTCGTTATCCGAATATCCTAGGTTTTTTTTGGTTTCTTTTGGAGTAACTTGGGGTCTTATGCACTAAACGGCCAAAATCAATTTTTCTACATCGTAAGCTGGAAATTATTCGATCAAATTTGATTGGGTAATTTTAGCCAATCAAATTCAAGTTACAACTTTTCTAGTAGATAAAAATATTAGCCGAAATTGTCGAAAAGGTGGAATTTTGAGTCAAATTATCAAATTAATTTTGAATCACCTGTGAAACCTTGCCCAGACAAGCAAAATTCAGTAAAATGGCTTGACAAAACAAAATTCAATTTTCATTACCATTTCGGCTAATAGTTTTGTCTGCTTGAAATTTCAATTGAAATGGCAGAAAATGTCGATGGAACTAGATTGGCTAATTAGCCAATCAAATTCATCCACAATAATTTCAGTTCAAGAGATGAATTGGGCCGTAGAAATAAGGAAATAGATGTAGAAATAAGGAAATTGGGCCGTTTAGTGCATAAGACCCGTAACTTGTTTCCCCCTCAAAACCGCTGTCATTTTGTTGTCGCCATGGCGTTTTTGCTGCGACTCTGAGCTATACAATGAAGATGTTCTCAGTCAAATTAAAGTGTTCGCTCTTTAAGTTAAAATAAAACTCCATCGTTATATGATTCAGATCACATCTAAGAGCAGAGTTTTTCAGTGGCTAGCATGGTACGGTAAACGTTGCATAAAAATGACAGTATAAGTTATACTGCTGGCCTGGTGGCCAGTCAATAAGCAGAATGGTCCAAGAGCAGCAAAACAGAAAAATATCAACGTTTATAAGCTAATCGGTAAATTAATTATCAGAAATGTCAATAATACCAACGCAACGAACATTTTATGCATAATTTCAGTAATTTAATCAAGAACTTTTTAAAAAATGTAATAAAAAAACTTAATAAAATTAGTCAATTCATGCATAATTTATTCGATTTCTTGGTATTTTTTGACGATTCTAATAATTGTTTTATGAAATAGCCCGTATAAACCAATATAAGTCAAAATTTTTCTGTTTTTTTTTGCTCTTGAACCGACTCTGCACTTGGACCATTCTGCTGATTGCTCGGCCTCCTGCTGGCCTATATAAAAACAAAATTTTGGTTTTTATGGCCAAATTGAAAATTGGTTTACTAGCAGACTAAGCAAATCTGACTGAAAAAGTTAGAAACAGACCAAGCAAATCTGACTCGTCAAACTACTTTCTACTGAATTGAATGAAAGGATTGTTGAAGTTAATTGAAGTTATAGATTGTTAAATTTGAAAAAAAAATGCATTTAAAAAAACTTAATTAGAAATTAAATTTTTTAAATCGGCGCCTGTAATCTGTATATTTTTTGCAGTTCTTCTATTACTTTTTTTACTTCTAGTTATTCCCATTTGCACCAGTGTTTACATTCATAAGTTTCTTATTCGTATACATAGACCATTTTGCTCAAACAGTTTGCGTTAAAGTGAGAAACCTTAAGATATTTACTGGTGAAAGAAGAGTCTTATTTTAGCAAAATCAAGGTGGTGTCAACCCGTTGATTCCATTCAAACAACTTTTATGAAACCTCATACAATTTTGAGACCCTATACGGTCTTATAGGTTAGCAGAAGAAAATATAACAAAGCCTTTGGTTGTCTATCAGGAAATATTCAACATACAGGTTTAAGCAAAGACCTGTAGATAACCAGCAAACATTTGCAGAGTTTGCTATTCAAATATCGAATTTACCCACTTATATGTTTTATACAACCCTGTGTTAGAGCTCAATTTGAAGTGTGGATTACCAGCAACGTAATACTTTACTCGAAAGCGAGGCTCGCTAGAAATTATAGATCCTTTCCAGATTTCTGGCTCTACCTTATAATGTAAAATATCAGAACATTTGTTTCGATGGTTCCAATTTTATTATTTAGTTGATAAACTGTCGACTACCTCAAAAGGTCAAAAGAATTTATGCAACTTCTACAAAATCAAAACTAATTGGCCATACTCTTTCGACGAGTAACAGTCATCAAATATGAGCAACAACAATCAAAGGTTTGTCAGTTTATATTGTTCAAATTCCACTCAATTATCAGTTTCGAAAAATCCAGCGTATAATGAACTAACACCAATAATTATGAAATGAATCAGAAAATTTGAGCTGATTTTTCAAAGGCAATAGCAAAAAATGATCAATAGGTTGAAAATAAAATAGAATTCTGGTTTGAATTTTTACCTTTGTAGCCCAGAGGTATCGCCGGATAACTCGCACGTCCAGACTCAAGTATCAGCATCGTCCGCAGACCCCCTTCTACCACCGCGCCCGACAACAGCCGCGGACCCGACTGACGTAATGGTTAACATCCAGGACAATCCAGGGTCTTCCACAGTTGCGAAGAATAGTGACGTCATTCCCCTAAGACCGCGACGGCCGAAACGCCTGGAATTCCCATGTGGGAGACCCCGAGAGTTTAAGATAGAGCTGAATGGAAAGTGGAATGAAAAAATAGCTGAAGAAAATCTGTTCGGAGGTATTGGAAGACAAGCTAGCAGAGTGAGTTTTAAACTTGACCGCTAGTGAACTTACTGAAAATGGTGCTAAGAGACCCTAAACTAGACCCTAAAAACACCAAAAAAACCCTATTTTGACAACAATATCTTGCACCGCATGCAAATCGTTGCAAAATTGAGCAAAACGTTTTTTGAGACCTACAAGTATCATTACATTTTTGGCGCGTGCTCTCGGCTTAAAATTAGTGTTTTGGCTCACGGAAGTCAGCTTTTTTCTCGAAAACAGCTTCTAATATTTCCTATTGTTTTGTTTTAGAAGCCAAAGAAACCAATAGAAACTCTATTCAAGATGAAAACTTGCAAGCATTTCATTCCTGACGAAAAAGAGTAAGTTATTTTTTTTTTCAGATTGTGAAGGATGGTTTACAACAAGCGGATTCAATAAAATGAAAGGTGTTTTTAAACCAGAAACTACCAGTTTGTTCGCACCTAAAATCAGATTGCTCATTTAAATTCAAAGAGTTGATAGCGGGAACAGGGGCGGATCTAGGATTTTCTCGAGGGGGTGGGGATTTTCAAAAAAAAAAAACAAATTTCAAAAATTTTGTCGACCTTTTTTCTGAGCTCTCCCAAATCAATAGAATGACCCTATTTTGACAAAATGTTCAACGCCGCTGCAAAATTTTGGAAAAACATGCCAAAACAGGCATTTTTAGTTTTTTTTTTGAAAACTGTGACCAAAAAGTTGCGTTTTTTCGGCGCGCGCTTCCCCCTCACAATTTGTAAATATTGGCACCAAAGGCGCCTTTAGAAAAATTTTACGGGTCAGTCAGCCGAAAATGAATATCTCAGAATATTACAAAGGGTGGACTTCTTGGGTCGGCATGGGTCGAGCGTGAAAATGCGCCCCTGAGCGTGAAAATGATCCCCCAGCAGGAAAATAGGGATGGGGAAAAACTAAAGTTTCTGGTTTTGCTTGAAAAACTTTGCATGATATTCAGATGCTATAAAATCGATTATAATAGGGATGCAATTTAAATCAATTTCAGTTCTTAATCTTCAATCGGTACATTTAGACGGAAGAGTAAAACAAAATGAAACAAAAAACAACAAAAAGTCAATGGATAAGGATAAGCTGTCAATTAAAAACAAAAATATGCTGAATTTAGTCCATGCCTATGGCGGTTTTTTCAATTTTGGTACCGTTAGACGCTTTAATTGACCAAAAAACGGCACTTTCCAGGTTCGTTTGGTTTTCAACACATTTTTTGTCTCAAAAACATTTAAAAAAATTGATTTCGGAGGTCAAAATGGGCCGTTCAAGGTGAACTAATTGGTTCAGATTTGCTTTAAAAAAACAGTCTGTCAAAACATGGCAATCCTATATATTAAATGAATGACAGCAAAATTTATACCATGTTTTAGCTGCCATAAGGCGAAATAGTTAAAAGCGATCATTCAGCTCAATGTTTAAAAAAGATGAACTCGATTTAATTTCAAGGCCGGGCAGTACTCGCCTACTTTTTGTTCAAACTTTTGCGTTTACAGACTCATTTCAATCTAAAACGAATCAATTTAAAACAGAAACGTACGCTCCAAAAAACTTAAACTTCAAGCGAACTGATTTGGTCAATGAAATAACTTGAAATTTTTCAAAGTTTCATTGCGTGCATAGCTTGCTTAGAAAAATTTAAGAATTTTTGAGAACCGTTTCGGTCCATCAAATAATAAGAAAAATTTCAAAGTTTCATTGTTTGAATAGTTTGGTTAAGAGAAAATTGATTTTACTTAGACCGATTTGCTCTATGAAATAAATTAAACTAATTCAAAGTTTCCTCGCTTGATTGGCTTTGATTGACAATTTAAAACTTTTCACCGCCCGAATCATTGCATAGAATAATTTGAAGTGTTTCAAAGTGTTAAAGCTGCATTAGCTTGCACGGAAAACTTTTTTCTGCCATAGTGTTTGCTCCCTGAAATAACTTGAATTCAACCGATTTACTGCTCAAATAACTAGACAAATGGAGGCCAACACATATCGTTTGAAACATGATCTTTTTCCGTTGTTGTAAAAATCCACACAACTTTGCTTTTTTTGCTTTGAGGATAAAGCTTCGCTCCAATTCTAGCAAACTGGCAAGACGCAAGTCGGCCTTAGAAGCGTTGAAGGTTCTTGAACAAGTTAGCTTCTATCACAAATTAGCGACGAATCGCTTCTTAGATGGCAATACGTGTTTCTAAACATCAACGTAACGTTGGGATGTTTTCAATTGAATCTAGACAAAAACTCTCGAAATCTTACGGTCTTTATAACGCTTGGTCTTTACAAACAAAACTATCAACACTGGGACCAGGAGCGTTTCACATTCTAATGGAGTTTATAGTCAGCGGAATACCATAAGAAGTTGCGTTGGTATTCCCTAATTAAATAATCTTCTTTGGTAGAGCTTTTGCAGAACATCTGAAAGGGTTGGAACTAATTAAGCGTGGATTGAGGGTAATTGAATTACAAAATTGTTGAAAATGTCGATTCTTTCAAAAAAAGTTACAATCCGAGAACCTTTTGTGTCAAACAATGGCGTTAGTATTAATACAGAGAAACAACCAGTATAACATCTGAAATATCCTCAAAATTATGAAACACTTTAATAATTAATAATGAAATTAATCGGTTTCAACAAAAGTTTCATCGAAAGGCTTGCAAAAACAGCGGCACTACTGTACAAGTACAACTGCTGAATAGCCGCAAAGATTTATTTCTTAATGGCGGCTGTAAAACCACTGTTGAAAAAAGTGAACCTAAAGCTCCAACAAGCACCAATATTAAGATACCCTAACGACGGTCATATTTATACACTTATAAGGGAAACTTCGTTTTCAAAAATAGAGGTCATTTTGACAGAAAAGCAGTAAAATATCAATCGAGTCATTGCTTATGCCAGTAAAACACTGAAAAGAGGAGAGCAGAATTTTTCAGGAACCGAGCGTAAGTTGCACGGAAATTTTTTTTTGCCATAGTGTTCGCTCCCTGAAATAAATTGAATTATTTCACAGTTCCATAGCTTGAAAAGCTTGCTCACAAGACTTCACTTTTTCGCAAAGCGATTTGTTCATGAAGTTTGATATTTTTCAAATTGTGTTACGGCATGACTTAGCTTGAAATCGTTCGAAGATTCATTGCGTGATCAGTACGAACTAATTTTTTGTGAGACGATTGATTATTGGATGCAGGCATGCTATAAATAATAAACTTAAGAACTTACACACATTTAAAGTTCTGATGCTCACCTACACAAGGATTGATTCGGTACGGCAGGGTCAGAATTTGTTGAATCCATTCGATTTGGTTTTGGAGTTTTTTCGATCTCTGTAGTTGCCGGAGAACTGGCTCGAGTTTGCTTTTGGCTCCAAAAAGAATACTTTTTTGTTTGATTCGATATAGCTAAAAGTTAAACGTTTCACGATAAAGTATCAAAAAGCTTGAAAAATGAAGTTGGTGTTAATGAAGTTGCAGCTTACCGTTTTTACTGCTCAAATAACTAGACAAATGGAGGCCAACACATATCGTTTGAAACATGATCTTTTTCCGTTGTTGTAAAAATCCACACAACTTTGCTTTTTTTGCTTTGAGGATAAAGCTTCGCTCCAATTCTAGCAAACTGGCAAGACGCAAGTCGGCCTTAGAAGCGTTGAAGGTTCTTGAACAAGTTAGCTTCTATCACAAATTAGCGACGTAATCGCTTCTTAGATGGCAATACGTGTTTCTAAACATCAACGTAACGTTGGGATGTTTTCAAAAACTCTCGAAATCTTACGGTCTTTATAATACTTGGTCTATACAAACAAAACTATCAACACTGGGACCAGGAGCGTTTCAGATTCCAATGGAGTTTTTTGTCAACGGATTACCATAAGAAGTTGCGTTGGTATTCCCTAAGTAAATAATCTTCTTTGTTAGAGCTTTTGCAGAACATCTGAAAGGGTTGGAACTAATTAAGCGTGGATTGAGGGAAATTGAATTACAAAATTGTTGAAAAGGTCGATTCTTTCAAAAAAAGTTACAATCCGAGAACCTTTTGTGTCAAACAATGGCGTTAAAACTAATACCGAGAAAAAACCAGTATAACATCTGAAATATCCTCAAAATAATTAAACACTTTAATAATTAATATTGAAATTAATCGGTTTCAACAAAAATTTCATCGAAAGTATTGCAAAAACAGCGGCACTACTGTACAAGTACAACTGCTGAATAGCCGCTAAGGTTTCTGTCTTAATGGCGGTTTTAAAACCACTGTTGAAAAAGCTGAACCAAAAGCTCCAACAAGCACCAATACTAAGATACCCTAACGACGGTTATATTTATACACTTATAAGGGACACTTGGTTTTCAAAAATAGAGGTCATTTTGACAGAAAAGCAATATAATATCAATCGAGTCATTGCTTATGCCAGTAAAACACTGAAAAGAGGAGAGCAGAATTTTTCAGGAACCGAGCGTAAGTTGCACGGAAAATTTTTTTTGCCAGAGTGTTCGCTCCCTGAAATAAATTGAATTATTTCACAGTTCCATAGCTTGAAAGCTTGCTCACAAGACTTCACTTTTTCGCAAAGCGACTTGTTCATGAAGTTTGATATTTTTCAAATTGTGTTACGGCATGGCTTTGCTTGAAATCGCTCGAAGATTCTTTGCGTTATCAGAACGAACTAATTTTTTGTGAGACGATTGATTATTGGATGCAGGCATGCTATAAATAATAAACCTAAGAACTTACACACATTTAAAGTTCTGATGCTCACCTACACAAGGATTGTTTCGGTACGGCAGGGTCAGAATTTGTTGAATTCAACCGATTTGGTTTTGGAGTTTTTTCGATCTCTGTAGTTGCCGGAGAACTGGCTCGAGTTCGCTTTTGGCTCCAAAAAGAATACTTTTTTGTTTGATTCGATATAGCTAAAATTTTAACGTTTCACGATAAAGTATCAAAAAGCTTGAAAAATGAAGTTGGTGTTAATGAAGTTGCAGCTCACCGTTTTTACTGCTCAAATAACTAGACAAATGGAGGCCAACACATATCGTTTGAAACAGGTTCTTTTTCCGTTGTTGTAAAAATCCACACAACTTTGCTCTTTTTGCTTTGAGGATAAAGCTTCGCTCCAATTCTAGCAAACTGGCAAGACGCAAGTCGGCCTTAGAAGCGTTGAAGGTTCTTGATCAAGTTAGCTTCTATCACAAATTAGCGACGAATCGCTTCTTAGATGGCAATACGTGTTTGTAAACATCAACGTAACGTTGGGATGTTTTCAATTGAATCTACACAAAAACTCTCGAAATCTTACGGTCTTTATAACGCTTGGTCTTTACAAACAAAACTATCAGCACTGGG